TTCGTTCCGCGTGCAGTCACGTGGCTTCTCCGCGGAAAGTAAAAACCTGTCAGGTCTTTATAGGGGCTCAAGGACAGAAAGGGCAGAGGCAGCGTAGTGGAAAATACAGGCTTGTTCTCCTTTAGAATGGGCACAGGATCTTTGGAAAGAAAATGCTGCAATTACATAGGATGGTATTTTTTGGCCTGGTGTTGGATACGTTGGAAAGCAGAGAGCGATTCTGGGTGGGGAATGAGAACTCCAGGTAACAAGGCGTGTACAGAGAGTGGAGTAGCATCCTCCGGAATTTGCAGAACTCCCGTTACCTTTAGTGGGGCAAGCTCCGGGAGTAAGTGCCGGCTTAGACTGGGCATTACAGGCCTGTGCCATTGTTCCTAGGGATCCGGCTCTTCATTGTGAGTGTGCCCTGCAAAGAACAACTCCTCTCTGTCACCCTGTGCGTCCCATTGCACTTTGTTAAATGGCAGAGCAGCCCAGGCTGTGATCGGATGAGTCCCAGTTCAGAAATGGAGAAGTTGCTGTAATCCGACACGCTCTGTGTCTGTCAGTCTCCAATGATAAGATCTGTGGAGAGCCTGGACTGAACCAAATTGCACTGCTCTGGATAATGCAACTGGGAGGAAGTTGCAGAAACACTGGATTTCATACTAAAAAAACAAACAAACAAAAATTATCAGGGCCAGTTTGTTCAGCCCTTAGGAGACCACCTTGCTCTTGGGAGTAAAGTCCCATTGGCTTTAATGGGATATTTGGGGGGAGCAAGTCCTCATCTGCACAGCTAAAGGATGCAAAAAAGAGTCCATTGAGATTATGGCTGAATTCATGTCACCATGGGCGAGAGTATAGCCGCCCAACTGATGGCCAAACTCAGCCCTGGGGTAAGCAGGAGAAGCTCCCCTAAAGCCACTGATTGCGCCTGCATACACCCAGGCTGACTTTGTCCTGGTTTGCGTAACTGAATCATAGAATCATAGAATATAAGGGTTGGAAGGGACCCCAGAAGGTCATCTAGTCCAACCCCCTGCTCGAAGCAGGACCAATTCCCAGTTAAATCATCCCAGCCAGGGCTTTGTCAAGCCTGACCTTAAAAACCTCTAAGGAAGGAGATTCTACCACCTCCCTAGGTAACGCATTCCAGTGTTTCACCACCCTCTTAGTGAAAAAGTTTTTCCTAATATCCAATCTAAACCTCCCCCACTGGGGAGTGAGTGACTTCAATGAAAAGTAGGGAAGAGCTCTCATTTGTGGATTTATTTTGAAGAGAAAACAGGGAAGACTTTGCTGCTCACAGAGTGGACTCTGCAGACACAAGACAACACACAAGGTGCTGTGACGTCATTGTCAGATCTGACAGCAGCCGTATGGTGCGAGAACTTTGCCCCCAGTTCTGATTAAGTGTATTGCCATTCCCAGCTCCAGTCCTCTGTGCTGTCAGCTCTCTGTTCCCAACTGAGCAGTCGCAACCTCTCTCTTTCCTCCGTCTGACCGGCCTAAAAGAAGACAAATAAAGAGGTGTTTTATTGTCCGTGAGGGAGGCTGGCAGGTAGCAGAGCTGGTGTTTATTTTTTAGCCCTGGAGCTGTTCTGAATGACTCAGGCAGGTATTTACGGGGCAGCAATGCAGGATTAGGCTATCAGATGGCATTTCATTTTGGATGACAGAAATGTCACGAGAAGACCAGGTCTCTTCATTTTTATTGAGGCCTGGTAATTGGCTCCCAGAGGAAGAAAACAACTCATGAAAAACAAACACAAATGCCTGGATTGTCAGGTTTTTACTGATCTCTAGTGCTCAGACTCTGGAGACTATCCTGGTACCTGCCAGCAGGAATTGCCTCCCTGCATGTTTAGAGACAGCCAACGAGAAATGAGAGTAGGACCTCATTTGTCATGAGTCCTTGCAATGCCCCCCAGGACTGGCTAGGGACCATCAGTAGGACCCTAGTGCTCTGTAACTCTAGAGCCAAGCACATTCAACGCAAACCTGCCTTACAGTGAAAGGTTTAAGAAGCTCAGTCTGTTTAATAAGAGAAGTTGAAGAGGTGATTGATCTTAGTGCTACATGGGGAGTCTTCTGAAAGTAGAAGGCTCTCTAGCGGACGAAGGCAGAACAGAATCCAATGGCTGGAAGTTGGAGTTAGATAATTTCAGGCTCGAGATGAGGTGCATGTTTTTTAACAGTGAGGGTAATTAACTCTTGTGACAATGTACCTAGGGATGTGGTGAAGTCTCCATCACTTGGAGTCTTTAACTGCCGATTGAATGTCAAACATGCCGTAGCTCAACCACAAGATATGGGCTAGATGCAGAAATTACTGGGTGAAATTCTTTGGCTTGTGTTATACAGGAGGTCAGCTAGATGATCACAATGGTCCTTTCTGGCCTTACAATCTATGGATCTTTGCTGTTTTTTCTGAGGGGCCGGAGATGGATAACCGTTCTTCCTCATCTCCCTCCTCATCCCTTCTGTAAGCAAAGTGAGCCCGATCCGACCTTCCCAACTCCACTTCCTGAGACCCAGAAGATGGTCCCTCTCCCAGGGGGGAAACAACCTTACACTCCTTGCCCCATCATCCGGCCTGTTCCTTGCTAGCCTGCTTCCTGGTGTGACTGGCACCCACCAACCTCCCTCCACTTAATCCAAAATCAGGCGAGGTTTGGGGAGAAGCAGCAGGCTGGGAAGGCAGGGTGCTTTGGGGAAGCTTGCTGGGGAAAAAGGAGGGAGCGTTCCTGGGGCAGATGAGGGTGCTTGGTGGGAGAAGGGGTTGGCAGGGAGTCATCCCTCCAAGAGCCCTGACCTTAACACACACGAAAGTGGCTGCATAAGGGCTCATTGTTTAGATGAGAGTCCCTGTAGGCTCCTGCAGTTGTTCATTAAGCGCTGTATAGCAGGCAGCGAAGGGCTGTGCTGTTGCATTGCTTTAATCTCCGTTATTAGCCAATGGAGCAGGGCTTTTTGCCAGACCAGCCGTTCAGTACCATCATGGCTAGGTGGCTTTGCATTTGCAGCCCGGCAGCTGCCTGCTGCCCTTTGCTTGGGACTGCAGAGAAGCGCGGGATTCTTGCATGTTTCCCTCTGCTGCTAGGAGAGGCTGGCCCGGCAAGGGGAAGCATCATGACAAATCATATTAAGAGCAGGTGCCTCAAGTTGGAACCTTAAACCCATGGTCCGGTTTGCAGAGTTGTTAAGCGCACACAGCTCCCACTGATGGCTGAACTTTTGCTACCTAGAGCTCCGTGCTCCTAGAGATTGCCCCTACTGACACGCACAGCTAAATCCAGATTCTTTGATCAGCCTTGCCCTAGTCACTTCAGTTGTCTGCCCGCCATCATGATCTCCTGGCACCTGGGAATGTCGAACGAAGCCTTCAGTCCCACTAATTAGAGCATCTACTAAATGTCAGCTTTCATAACCTGCAGCTTCTGTTCAGCATGCTGGGAAGGCCTGGAGCTGCAGGGAACTTTGTTTTGCAATGACCAAGAGGATTTGTGAGAGCAGAATGCCAAATGTCAGATGCATAGGTTGGCTCACATTCCTGTGCCCTGAACCTGCACCAGCCGTTCACACCAAGGGATTGGTCACCTACTGGCAGTCCACAGAGGTCCAGCACTGTGGTTTTGGAGCCAAGGCTCAAGACTTCTCTTACTTCCCATGCTGTATGCATGCAGCTGGCAGATGTCCATGGTATCTGTGTGTAGACGCTACCTCTGAATGGTTTCAGAGTAACAGCCGTGTTAGTCTGTATTCGCAAAAAGAAAAGGAGAACTTGTGGCACCTTAAAGACTAACCAATTTATTTGAGCATGAGCTTTCGTGAGCTACAGCTCACTTCATCGGATGCATACCGTGGAAACTGCAGCAGACTTTATATATACACAGAGAATATGAAACAATACCTCCTCCCACCCCACTGTCCTGCTGGTAATAGCTTATCTAAAGTGATCATCAGGTTGGGCCATTTCCAGCACAAATCCAGGTTTTCTCACCCTCCACCCCCCCACACAAATTCACTCTCCTGCTGGTGATAGCCCATCCAAAGTGACAACTCTTTACACAATGTGCATGATAATCAAGTTGGGCCATTTCCTGCACAAATCCAGGTTTTCTCACATCCCCCCCACCCCCATACACACACAAACTCACTCTCCTGCTGGTAATAGCTCATCCAAACTGACCACTCTCCAAGTTTAAATCCAAGTTAAACCAGAACATCTGGGGGGGGGGGGTAGGAAAAAACAAGAGGAAATAGGCTACCTTGCATAATGACTTAGCCACTCCCAGTCTCTATTTAAGCCTAAATTAATAGTACCCAATTTGCAAATGAATTCCAATTCAGCAGTTTCTCGCTGGAGTCTGGATTTGAAGTTTTTTTGTTTTAAGATAGCGACCTTCATGTCTGTGATTGCGTGACCAGAGAGATTGAAGTGTTCTCCGACTGGTTTATGAATGTTATAATTCTTGACATCTGATTTGTGTCCATTTATTCTTTTACGTAGAGACTGTCCAGTTTGACCAATGTACATGGCAGAGGGGCATTGCTGGCACATGATGGCATCTATCACATTGGTGGATGTGCAGGTGAACGAGTCTCTGATAGTGTGGCTGGTGTTATTAGGCCCTGTGATGGTGTCCCTTGAATAGATATGTGGGCACATATATATATATATATAAGTCTGCTGCAGTTTCCACGGTACGCATCCGATGAAGTGAGCTGTAGCTCACGAAAGCTTATGCTCAAATAAATTGGTTCGTCTCTAAGGTGCCACAAGTCCTCCTTTTCTTTTTGAGCTGAAATGGTTGAACTTGAGATCTGACTTCCACTGTCTAACTATACTTTTGGGCTTAGGTGCCTCATGCTCCCATGGAAACTTTTACAAAAGCCTTAAAATCAAATTCAGAGGTGCTGGAAGGTGCCAGAACAAAACTGCCACGGACAAAACTTCCCTTCAATGGAAGAGTTCAGAAATAACTGGAACTTCTTTGTGTGTGTTTGTATTGCAGGATGAAGGTGTGCTGCCCCCTGCTGGTTACTTTATGGGTGTGCTTGGCCACCCTCAGCAGCAGCTCAGGTAAGAGAGCTGTCAACTTTTGTTTTAGGAAATGCCAGGCAGTGTATTAGGTTCCACTCTTCCAACTCAGGACAGGAAGCACAAACTCATCTCTGGGCCTTTGAACTCAGCAGGGATGGATTTATTGCTTAAAAATAGTTGTTGTTTTTTAATATTCCTGGATGCAGTGGCCATCTGGGCATCTGAGAGAGCTTTGCAAACACAAGCTTCATAACACTCTGGTCATTAACATTATCATTTTACAGCTGGTAAAACAGAGACTCAGTGGGGGTGGGAAATGACTTGCCCAAGATCATGTAATGAGCCAGGCAGGGCCGGGAATTGAACCCGAGAATCTTTCCCTCCTGTTTGGATCCGGAACATAAGATTCTGGCCCTTGAATTATGACTCATGTCTCAGTCATGGCTGCTGAGAATGGAACTTCTTGAATGGGCCAAGTTTGCATGCCAGCTTCATTGAGTCATGTTCCTAGCAGAAAATATGTTGTAATCCTCATGGGCGTCTGGCTCGCATTCAGCTGGGCTGCTCATGAAGAGGGGGATTGTATCTGTATCGGCCCCAGGCTTCCTATCTGGGGCAAAGGAGAGATGTCATGATTTACAGAAGGAAAATGGAAAGGGACTGGGGAGCAAGATCTATTAGGGAAAATGCACTGAAGAATGAACATTCCAGGCGGCCAGTGGAGGCTCAGTACGTCCCTCATCGGCATCGGCCTCGTTGCACCATTTACCGAGCCTGTGCTTGGATAACCCCCCCCCCCCGAATCCCTAAATCAGGCCCCCTCCCTTGCCCAGTGGAGCTGTACTGGCTCTGATGGGTCCTGAGAGCTCCATGCCCCCGGTAGGTGGGAAACCGGGTCGGATTCACCCTTCCGTGCCTTTCTCCTGTGGAATCAAAACTGCCCTGTCTACCATGTGGACAATCTCCCCTTCCATTTCAGGTAGGGTGCTGCTCCCTGGCAGTGCTCCAGAAAGCATTGCTGCAGCATTTCACGCCGCCACTCGCTGCGGTGACGAATCTGGGAAGCCCAAGCCAGTGAGCAAAATCCAATTCCCCACGGTGCCATGGTTTGTAGCTCCTGGCCTGTTGCCTCTGCAGGTGTTGCTGGGTTTGTTCGGGCTTTTGCTAAAATGAGGACCTCAGAAGCGGGTGCTACGAGGTGGGGCAGTATGATCTACTGCTTAGAATATGGGACTGGGAGCCAGGGCTGCAGGGTTCTGTGCCCAGCTCTGCCCCTGACTTGTTCTGTACCCTCAGGGAGGACACTTAAGTCCAAATTTTCAAAGAAGTGTCCACTAATTTTAGTGTTTCAGCTGTTGGGTGCCCTCCTTGGGACCCCGGGCCTACTGTGAAAAGGGGTTGAGAATCCATAGCTCCCCGGGCACTGCCTTAAAAGGGAGTTAACCGCTGTCAGGAAGGGACACACTTTGGTGTCTATGGATGGAAGCACGATATACCGTGGGCCAGATTCTGCTGTCAGTTCATTGGTGTCAATCCAGAGTAATTTGTCTGAGGCCAGTGGAGTTACGCAGATTGTCACTAGTTTAGGTGAGATCAGAATCTGACCAGATAATGTCCATCATAACCCATTCTGCACTGTAAAATACTGGCTGTTTTGTGTTTGAGTACCACTTTCCCTTATTCGCTCCTGATCATTGCTTTACAGATTTGACTCTGATTTTACTGCAAGTTCCATTTGTATCTCTTACCTTCCCAGGCTGCCTTCATATTCTTCACAGTCTTTCAATCTTAGTGAAGGGTAGAGGATTGGGAGAAAATCATTGTCAGTTTTACTGTTGTGGGGAACTAGAAAGGACTCGTTAAGAGCCTGTAATGCTGCCAGCAGAGACGGGAAAGCCTTGTCCTGAGCTCTGATCGTTTAAAGTATCTGTCTAGAGTTGAGGAATAAATGCTGTCCAAAAAGTAACCTTCACTGCCATTCGGCATCATGCATATGTAGGAAATCACTTCCCTTTCCTTACCAGTCAAACAGGCCGGGCGCTCGAGGGGAATGAGCACAACCGTGCAAGCCAGGGATGCTTGGGGCCAAGTTCTGTGCAGATTTACACCCTAAAGGGAGTCGTAAGTTAGTATGGAATCAGTGTAAATTGTTTGGCTTCTCTCTGTGCCAGATTCTGCTCTCAGGACCTGATCCAGCTCCCTCTGAAATCAGTTTCAAAACTCCAGTTGACTTGAATGGTGCAGAATTGAGACCTTCAGTGTACCGGTGTAAATCCACTGTAACTCATCTGCTTTCAGTGGAACAGAGACCAGAAGTAGGCCCCATGGGTCAAATTCATCCCCAGTGTAACCCCCTACCAGGGTTAGGATCAATTTAGCCTAATGGTGGGCAACCTTTGGCCCGTCAGGGTAATCCGCTGGCAGGCCGCCATGCAGTTGGTTTACATTTGCACGGCTGCCTGCAACTCCCAGTGGCCGCGGTTCGCCGTTCCCAGCCAGTGGGAGCTGCGGGAAGTGGTGCAGGCCGCAGGTGCCCACCACTGATTTAGCCTGTCTGTCTCCCACTCTGTAGAATGGGTGCGTAGTTACTTGTGGCCAGGCATAATCTGAGGGTTAATAAATTACTGTCTGTGAAACACTTTGAAGAGGCAAAGCTTTGTATCCATTCTCAGGAAACACTGCTACACAACTGTTACTCGAATGATGGGGTTCCGGTGATCTTATTTCTCCTATGGGTGGTGACAGCCCCAGAAGCCCAGAGCGTGCGTATTTTAGGGTGTAAATAACAAGAAAAATAGATGGAAATGTCTTGTGGTTTTTTTTTAAATGAACAACTGCCCCCCAATGCCCTCTGCCCCCCACTCCCGTCTTCTAATATTTCCTGCCTTGCCCCTCCTCCTCCATTCCCCTGTCTGTTGCAATTGCTGGCCAGCTCAGGTATGTTTTTATGACCTGCTACGCCATTTTTAAGCACAGTTCTGGAGCTGCTTTCATCTCCAAGGTTTATTTATGATGCTTTGAGGTTAGGTTGTTCCCCACCCAACTTTTAAAGTGAAGTTATGCTGGGGAAAGATGCCTGATTCATGCCCCTGGGGGGAACCGGAAGGTTTAGCTGTAGAGCAGTAAGCTACCACCATGTGGTACTTACCAATTTGCATCAACCCCGAGCTGTCAGGATTCCTTCTGCAGACAAGAGAGGAGTTCAGTCTCTATGTCCAATCAGGGGGAGCCAACTGCCGGGGGGGGGGAGGATATTTTTATATTTTTGTGTGCATGATGTGAATGTCTGTCGGCCAGGAGAAGGGAGGAGCCCGTTTCACTTAGGTCACAGATCCGAGGTTAGATGGTTGCTTTCGGTCTCTCCTCACATGAATCAGATTTGAACTGGCGGCCCGTTTGATTCAAGCTCCATAGCATATTATCCAAGTCACCTAATCTTCCCCCATCCCTGGTTTAGTTTTGTATAATAAACCAAAATTATAAGAGACAGAGTGGCCGGGGTGACGCTTTGAGACCAGCCAGCAACCTCCATGTCTCACATCTCTTTTGGGTGTTTTGTTTCTGTTCGGCTCAGCTGTTGACTGAAAACCTGTAAGTCGCAGGCTGAGGTCCCATTGAGATGTAACTGGATTTTGGCGGCCCGGGGTGTAGTTGCAGTAGCCTTGTCAAAATGTATAAGCTAAGCAGGGCTGCACTTGCATGAGGTGTTCAGGGAAACCCCAGCGTGCTGCCAGGAGCGGCCAATGCTCCTGCCTGGTGTCATGGGCATTAGGCTGTGTGAGACAGGAGCTTACAGAGAAGCTGTGGGAAAATGAGGATCCCGAGATCACCAAATACCAGGCATGTTTACAACAAGGAGGTGCGTTACCCCTGCTTTCCTGGCCAAGTCATTATACCTTGACTACCTAGTGCAAGTGCAGTTAGCTACGGTATTCTTCACTTCCTGTCTTCAACTGGTGTGGCTGGGTGCACATAGCTGCTGCGTTCCACTCCAGAGGTGGCTGCATCTCAGCCTTGGAGGAAGGAACGTGAAGCCCTTGGGGGTCCCTCAGGATGATAAACGAGTTATTTCTGAGGCAGGGAAGAACTGCTCTCCATGTTTCATGAAGGAGAAAGTGGGGCACAGAGGTGAAGTAACTTGCCCAAGGTTACACAATGAGTCTGCGGCAGAGCTGGGAACTGACCTCAGATCCCCTAGGTCTCAGTCCGGTTTCTTAGCGCGCTGAAGTGATGTGTCAGTATCAGATTATCTCCATGTACACCGAGGCTGAGCGCTTTGCACTGGTTTTTCAAGCCACCTTCTTTTACGGGTTGTTTTGTTGCGCTCTCCGCCACACCAGGAGCTAACCAACAAGTACTGCTCTGCTCTCGTCCATGTGTCAATTTCCTCACTGAAGTGGGTGGGAAAGTGGGGACTTACTTGTTTTCCTCAGGCTTAAAAGCCTCTCACACCCCATTTTTATTATGTCGGGCTCAGTTTAAAAATGTGGAGCCTGCCAGAAAACACTGAAGGTTTCCTTAGGGCCACTTGCATGCCTTACAATAAACACTGTATTCATGTTTACCTGTTTTACAAATGGGGAAACTGAGGCACTGAGTGGGGAAGCGATTTGCTCAGGGTCACCCAGCCAGCCAGTGGCAGAGCCATGAATAGAACCCAGGTCCCCAGAGTCTCCGTGCAGTGCCCTAGCCACTTACTGTGCGTGTAGCTATCTGATGAGATTTGGGCGCATGTGCGTGCATGGGCACTTCTGTCGGTGTGTTGTGCACGTGTGTGGGGAGGAGATGGGCTCTGTGTCCGTAGGGGGCGTTCCTAATGAGGGTGTGGGGAGTGTTGTGAACAAAGCTGCCAAAGATTTCCAGAATGTTTATTTTCTATTTTCTGGGGGTTGAGCGACACCGTTATTTTCCCTCCTTCCCCAGCACTTTCCTTTGTGCACAGCGGAAACCCCCAGCTTTGCTCAGCTTCTGAGCAGGGTCCCGGCTCCTTGCTAAGCCTCCTCACCCGTTATACAGCCAGGCTGAGCAAGAGGGCAGGT